CATACCCTCTACAACCCACTCATGCACATACTACCTACTGTCATATTCTCTGTACTTCTCTCCTATACATATTTCCTCCTGTAAAACCCTCCACACTTTTCTCTTGCACATAATTCCCAATGTAATACCCTCTACACTCCTCTCCTGCACATATATGCAGCCATATACTGCACACTCTCTTCCTGCATATATTACCCTTGGCATACCACCCACACTCCACTACTCTACATAGTGCCTACTGTAATACAATATGAAAACATGTTCTGTAGATACTGACTGGTGTAATGCCCTCTATATTTCTTTCATACACAAACTGCCTCCTGTTATATCCTTTACATGCTTCTTGTGCACATACATGCTTCTACTGCCCATATCATTTCATCCACACTCCTCTCTTGCACATACTGCCCCCTATCCCTCATCCACACTCCTCTCTTGCACATACTGTCCCCTATCCCTCATCCACACTCCTCTCTTGCACATACTGCACCCTATCCCTCATCCACACTCCTCTCTTTACATACTGCCCCCTATCCCTCATCCACACTCCTCTCTTGCACATACTGCCCCCATCCCTCATCCACACTCCCCTCTTGCACATACTGCATGCTATCACTTATCCACACTCCTCTCTTGCACATACTGCCTCTTATCCCTCATGCACACTCCTCTCTTGCACATACTGCCCCCTATCCCTCATCCACACTCCTCTCTTGCACATATTGCCCCCTATCCCTCATCCACACTCCTCTCTTGCACATACTGCCTCCTATCCCTCATCCACACTCCTCTCTTTCACATACTGCCCCCTATCCCTCATCCACACTCCTCTCTTGTACATACTGCACGCTATCACTCATCCACACTCCTCTCTTGCACATACTGCCCCCTATCCCTCATCCACACTCCTCTCTTGCACATACTGCCCCCTATCCCTCATCCACACTCCTCTCTTGCACATACTGCCCCCTATCCCTCATTCACACTCCTCTCTTGCACATACTGCCTCCTATCCCTCATCCACACTCCTTTCTTGCACATATTTCCCCCTATCCCTCATCCAAAATCTCTCCTGCTCACACCGTCCTTAACATACTCCACTGAATGTTGAAGGTGACGTGGGAAGCTAGAGAGCTGCCGATTTTGAAAAGAAGTGTTACTTTCTAGCTCTATAGTATATAAATCCTAATGGTGGTTAAGCAGACTTACGTTAAACTTATGTTATGATAATTTAAACAATTCATGTCTATAGAAAATATAAATCCAGATAGTAGAGGGTTTTATTTTTTTTTGCGTTATATTCTTATCACACATTACTTTCTATTTTAATTATTTGATTTGTATTCTTTTCCTCTAAGCTAAAATAAATAATTTAAAAGAAAAGAGAAATAAAGTAGTCATACAAAGTCTTTAAAAATCTGAGCTATTCTCAGGACAAAAGCTTTGCCTGCAAACCACCTCGGGGAGACACTCAAATATTTATTTGTCCTATTGTGTCTCCTGCTATTAAACATATACACCAGTATCAGCTGCATTGTGAATAACCTAACATTCCACTTTATAAAGCTGCGCACCTGCTGATACTTGCCATTTAGTCATTGACTATATTTGAGTTACATTTATTATTAGATTTTTTTTTTTTTTTTTGCATTACCATTATAAATCTATTGTTTTTTTTTTGTTGTTACCCATGTTAGCCTGCAATTCTTGCTGCAATATACAACATATGCTTCATGGAGAATAATTTAGAATGTGATTATCCACATGGCCATCTGCTCTTGCTGGTAATGTTGGCTTGATATGTGAATCAGAATGAAACTTGGCAGAAGCCGTGTAAATCCACATCTATTTGTTTCTAAAATATCACAAAAGAGCCATTGAGTATTTAGAGGAGAGAAATGTCATGCTTTAACAGGCATTAACTCATGAAATTAGGAAAACGTCAAATGGCACATCTAATCATAATATATAGTAGATAGGTTCACTAAAATTGAATTTTGGGCAAATCTTTTTATAGCACTGGGGCATGTTAAAATCTCAATCAGAATTATTGCAATCAGTATTGCAATTTGTGGACCATAGGTGAGATTCCCCTTCCTTTCTATTACAGTGGTGTCCCTCAGAACAGGACATAAAGTGGTTGAAAACCCTTACATATACCCAGAGAAATGACTGGCCTTAGGTGATACACAGAGATGAAACAGATCCCTCTAGATATGTTTTACCTGTTTATATGCAGCCCTGTCTTGTCTACATTCATTTAAAGTGCTACATTTATAAAGCGTGTCTTAAGAGTTCAGAAAAAAGGGGGTGAGGAGCTGAAATTATTCACTGCAGAGCTCAGTGAGTAGAGCTCTGAATACTGATTGGAGGGAAGGGACAGACCCTCCTCCACACATCTCACAGGAACAGAGCTGAGGCTCTCAGTCTGTTGGAGGTACCTCCCCTGTCACCATTTTTTTCTTGGTGTCAGGAAAATTTGTAAGAAGTGATCCATGCAGATAGCAGAAGAATGAAGCAGCAGACAGAAATGACACTTAGTGCTCTGGATGTGCACACTATAGAGGAAAATGCTTTGTTCATAATTCATGTCAGGGGTTTACAACCACTTGAAATATATATATATATATATATATACAGTGGGGATCGAAAGTTTGGGCACCCCAGCTAAACATTTGTATTAATGTGCATAAAGAAGCCAAGGAAAGATGGAAAAATCTCCAAAAGGCATCAAATTACAGATTAGACATTCTTATAATATGTCAACAAAAGTTAGATTTTATTTCCATCATTTACACTTTCAAAATAACAGAAAACAAAAAAATGGCGTCTGCAAAAGTTTGGGCACCCTGCAGAATTTATAGCATGCACTGCCCCCTTTGCAAAGCTGAGACCTGCCACTGTCATGGATTGTTCTCAATCATCATCTGGGAAGACCAGGTGATGTCAATCTCAAAGGTTTTAAATGCCCAGACTCATCTGACCTTGCCCCAACAATCAGCACCATGGGTTCTTCTAAGCAGTTGTCTAGAAAACTGAAACTGAAAATAGTTGACGCTCACAAAGCTGGAGAAGGCTATAAGAAGATAGCAAAGCGTTTTCAGAAGTCAATATCCTCTGTTCGGAATGTAATTAAGAAATGGCAGTCATCAGGAACAGTGGAAGTTAAAGCAAGATCTGGAAGACCAAGAAAAATATCAGACAGAACAGCTCGCAGGATTGTGAGAAAAACAATTCAAAACCCACATTTGACTGCACGATCCCTCCAGAAAGATCTGGCAGACACTGAAGTTGTGGTACACTATTCCACTATGAAGAGATACTTGTACAAATATGGTCTTCATGGAAGAGTCATCAGAAAGAAAACCTCTTCTACGTCCTCACCACAAAAATCATCGTTTGAACTTTGCAAATGAACATATAGACAAGCCTGATGCATTTTGAAAACAAGTTCTGTGGACCGATGAGGTTAAAAATTGAACTTTTTGGCCGGAATGAGCAAAGGTACGTTTGGAGAAGAAGGGGCACAGAATTTAATGAAAAGAACCTCTGTCTAACTGTAAAGCATGGGGTTGGATCAATCATGCTTTGGGGTTGTGTTGCAGCCAGTGGCACAGGGAACCTCTCACGAGTAGAAGGAAAAATGGATTCAATAAAATTTCAGCAAATTTTGGATGGTAACTTGATGCCATCTGTGAAAAAGCTGAAGTTAAAGAGAGGATGGCTTCTACAAATGGATAATGATCCTTAACACACCTCGAAATCCACGGGGGATTACATCAAGAGGCGTAAACTGAAGGTTTTGCCATGGCCTTCACAATCTCCTGACCTCAACATAATTGAAAATCTATGGATAGACCTTAAAAGAGCACTGCGTGACAGAAAGCCCAGAAATCTCAAAGAACTGGAAGACTTTTGTAAGGAAGAATGGGCAAAGATACCTCAAACAAGAATTTAAAGACTCTTGGCTGGCTACAAAAAGCGTTTACAAGCTGTGATACTTGCCAAAGGGGGCAGTACAAGATATTAACTCTGCAGGGTGCCCAAACTTTTGCAGACGCCATTTTTTTGTTTTCTGTTATTTTTTGAAAGTGTAAATGATGGAAATAAAATCTAACTTTTTTTGACATATTATAAGAATGTCTAATCTGTAATTTGATGCCTTTTGGAGATTTTTCCATCTTTCCTTGGCTTCTTTATGCACATTAATACAAATTTTTAGCTGGGGTGCCCAAACTTTCGATCCCCACTGTATATATATATATATATATATATATGTGTGTGTGTGTGAATCAAGTGAGGCTGGTTGTGTTTCTGGGCCTTGGATTGTTCTCAAATGGTGAAACCCAGTTGTTGCATGGTTTACAACCACTTAATCCTTTCAATGCATTAGGGTAAAAAACACTACACTGCCTGCTCACCCCAGCCCAATCCCTACACACTTCCCAGGTTCCTCTTCCCTTCCTCACAGGAGACTGTGACTGTGGCCATTGGCTCTTGATGCTGTCAATCAAATCCCGCAGAGAGGAAGCAGAAGTGTGGCCAAGCCGCGGTGTGTGTCTATAGACGCATATAGCCTGGCTTGGAAGCGAGCCTGCATATGTGCCACCTTAGCAGCTGGCTTGTTGAGGGGGCACTCAGAGGAACCAGACGGGCTCCAGAAGAGAATGTAGGAGTCTGCCTATCAGTTCACAGACCAAGTATGGATAACATCTATTTTATTGTAAGATAAAAAAAAATTTGAATTGCTTTTAAGGGAAAATCTCCAATGGAGCACACTAAAACATCAAAATTAACTTTTATTTTAGCGGTAACAGGCTAGAAGCTTTTTATTGCTGTAAGTGTTCTTGCTGGAGATTTACCCTTACTTCCCATTTTGGTGACAACAAAGCCAGAATAAATCTCAGTAGGTCCAGACAGCAATAAAAACGTGACAAAAGCTCTATGCTTTCTCCATTCTATCCAAAACAAAAAGACAAATTTGTGGCTGGATTTATCCTGTAACCTCCCTGGCGGTATTCCTGAGTGTAGCTCGGGGTAAAGTTTCAGTACCACAAGCGGTAACCCTGAGCTACACTCGAGCTTAACATGCTGCGCTGCTCTGGGATCTGTTCTTCTCTTTCCTTGTCCTGCGCTCCCGCGATGTCTCCCCTGCAGTGTCCCCTGTAATGTCCTCCAGTGGATGCCGGCATCTGTCTTCTGGGTTCCGTCCCCTGCGACGTCGGGACGTACGGGGATGGAGCGGCGGGAAATTTGAAAATGACAAAAAGTGACATTCACTAAATTACCTTAGTAAAACATTACTGTATCAAACCATTTCACATACATTTTGTCCCGAGTGCCTTGTCCTGTGCCCTGCTTGCATTTTTACTGTTCTTTCTGCCTGGAAACTGAGAAACGTCCATGGCGTCCAAAAAGCGTCCCTTTAGGTCAAACTCATTTTTAGACCAGCTAGAGAACAGCGATAGTAAATTAGAACCACTTGCAGAATTGAGTGATAATGATTCGTGGGGAAATTCGTCATCAGACACTGAAAACGATTTTGCTTAGTGATGTGCAAACTTGGCGCTATATTTCAAAATTCAGTGTGTTTTTGGTTTGATTATATTATTGAATTAAATCTATTATTATTATATTATTATTTTTTGTGATTATATTTATTTATTAAATTATAATTTATGATTTCGTGTTTCAAATTTTAACATACCTGGGATGTTTACTAGACTCTTGTTCGGACAGAAATGTACCGCTTTGAGCACAGAAATATGGACATAATCAGACCGCTAGGGAGGTTAAGCTTCCTTTCTATAGTTGTTCATCCAGTTGATTAACCTAGCAAAGTCAGACCATTTAGTGAATTTCTCAGGCTGAAATCAGAAATGACATTCAAGGTGTATATAATTGCTCATTGACTAAGTAAAGCTTTCAGTAAACCTCTGGGAGGGTGGTTGTTTTATTCATTTTGTTCTGTGCTATCTCCCAGTTTCCAATACAATGTGGGCGGATAGGGCTCAAGCATAATTAGAATGGTACTGTCTTGTGTATAGCTAGGAAGAGTTTGTATATGTTTTTAGATGACTAACAAGCATATTTATAAAGTGGCGGTAATTCAACTCTCCAAATCAAGTCTCTTTATAACAGACATTCAACAAACATATGGATTACCAAAACTTTTATGGAAAATCTAGTTCTTGTAGATTTGTAATGCATGGAATGAAACATCCATTAGCTACTGCTTTCCAGTGACAAATCATTGATATTACCACTGATCCTGCTTCTTCCAATCTGATGTAATTCTTACTACACATATTCTCTAGTTATCTATAGGCATGCCTCCAGATTAATGTTGCATCAAAGTCCATTTGAGGATGATGCAGCTTCTGTCATTGTGTCAAAGACCTGAATACAAGATTTGTGGTAATAGGGGGCTTCTCCAATTGTTGTCCAACCACACTGGAATGGTGCTTCTAACCAATAGGAACTGTGGTCTGGCAATGGAAGTCAGTTTTTTTTCCTTTAAAGCACTAGATCAATGCTTTTTTTTGATCCAATGCTTTACATTGTAGAGGAGAGATGTGGGGTCTTATTGACCCCATATCTCTCCATAATGAGGACCTGTCACTAATTATTTCTGTCACAAGGATACATGCATTTCTTGTGATAAGAATAGAAGTGATTAAAAATTTCTCTAAAGGAACAGTGCAACCCCCCCCCCCCCCCCAAAAAAAAATTAAATAAATAATAAAAAAAAGTTTAAAGTGCCCCCATGCTCGCACGTAGTGGTGAACGCATACGTAGGCCATGCCCACATATGTAAATAGTGTTTAAACCACACACGTGAGGTATCACCACGAACGTCAGAGTAAGAGCAATAATTCTCACACTAGACCTCCTCTGTAACTTTACACTACTAACCTGTAGAAATTTTTAAAGCATCAACCATGGAGATTTTTAAGTACCGCAGTTTCACGCCATTTCATGAGCGTGCGCAATTTTAAATCTTGACATGCTGGGTATCTATCTACTCGCCATAACATTCTCTTTCATATTTTACAAAACAATTGGGGTATATATTGTGTTTTGTTTTGTTTTTTAATCAGTGTAGTTTTTCCCAAAAAATATATATTCATTTTTAAAAACTGCATTTTGGTTTCAGTTTCGGTTTTCGGGCAAGTGCATTTTGAATTTTCCTTTTCGGCACCAGAATTTTCATTTCGGTGCACCACTAATTTCCAGGGATACTTTACTGCTGAAGCAGTATACCTAACTCAATCAGGTAAAATGCTGTAACAAAGGATGATGCTGCATTACAACACTAGCATTTTAGCTGAGCTCAATGCAGACAGAAAAATTACACATAAACTACATATAAGGGAGCTCCGTTACCTGCCAGAGGATTTGTATTTCTGTCAATCCAGTTCTGAGATTTACACAGCTTTGTCACATTAATACAACCTTGTCTGAAGACCCGATTTTTCTTTGCAGCAGTATAGTAATACTTACAGGTTTCCTTTCCACCCCTATTCTGTACCTGGTTAATAAAAGGATAAATAACAAACTTTTAAGATCATCTATCTGTCACTATGCTCTCTTCTCCTATAAGCATGCCACTAGCATTGTAGCATGACTGATTCTCTTGTTGTGCTGCTTCTCCCACACCCATTTAAGCTCTACTGTACAGGAACGGCAAAGGACTGATATCAGGTCAAATTCAAGCACTTACACTGCTTGTGGTGAAAAAAATGTAAGAATGTATTTATAAATTCAAAACTGCATTCATGTATTTTTATACCTGCATTGAGTTCAGCTTAACGTATTTACTAAACTAGAATTTAAAGCAATATCTTTTGCACTGTAAAACAACCTATTAACCTAAAAACGTGTTTTGGTATAGAAAGGAGGTTCTTGGAAATCAATGTCATTGAGATCAGCGGAACTGCAAATTTGGGACTCCCTGACTGGCATAATCATATGCTTGGGAATATGACACATTATGAGTTGTCCTCGGCATCTGACACCGTTGACTATCTTGTTTTTCTGTTTTTCTTGACTTTCAGTATTTTAGCAGACTTTTTATTACTATCTGACCACTCTCTTCTGCTTCAGTAATGTTTAATTAGCTTAGCTTATTGGAATACTTTAAAGGGAGGGGGTTAATATTAACCCCCTCTTACTTGGATGACTAATATACTTATCTGCTCAGCAAATCCAGTGCTGTCCTGCTGTCATTCACCAAAAGCTGTTGCATTACTTAGTCCAGTGCCTCATCCTACTTGTGATGACACCAGGAGGCTACCGATGTCTTCTGGGTCCTTGCTCCACCACCTGATGACACTCCACATTGCTCGTATAGTAGGTTATACAACGCCCCAAGGCCTCATGCTGAAGGGGGGGGGCAAATAAATGGAACATGAAAAATAGTTCAAGTGCTTTTACCAAAGTGCAAATTTCGTACAGCTTCTAGCAGTACCTATACCTAGATGACCCACAAATTTGCTTGTTTAATGGACAGAGGGAAGATGGATTAGATCCTTTGTCTTGTCTTTATTGTCGCTGTCGCCGTTTGGGAGATTGTCCCTCTCTGTGTGTCTCTATTTGTCTTGTTTAGCATTAGCATTGAAAGTGAAAGTATATGAAAATTCTAAATTTTGGGTTGTTCCCAGAAAAGAAGGGGAAATCTACCAATGGGGACACTAGTTCTGGTGACCCTGATGACAACCAGGGATTCCCTTAATTTGTAGGGATTTCCTCCCACTTGCTGTTTTGGCTATAGGACAGGAAATGAATGTAAATCTCCCCAATGGGACAGAGATGGCAAAACACCTGACAGGGGTTATAACCCTCCTTTTCTCTATCCAAAATGAGAAAAGTGGTTTTGCTTATAGTCTACTTTAACAAACATTTAAAATAGTTGTGAATGCACTGTTTTAACTGCCGACAGTCTTGTTTTTTACACACATATTGCACTTTAAATAAAATCAGTGGGAAAACATGGAGGGGGTGGGAGGACTTGAGTGCCGCTTTAAAGTGGCTGTAAAGGTATTCTAAGCATGAAGGTAAAAAACGTTTGCATGCTGTTCCCCCCTAATGCTTACCTGAGCCCAATCTCGATCCAGCACTGTGCACGAGAGCAGGGGCTCTCTTGGCTCTCTCCCTCCTGATTGGCTCAGACACTCACAGCTAGTGAGGAGGGAGAAGGGGGCAGGGCTGAGCCAGGCTCTGTGTGTCTTATAGACAAACAGAGCTGGCTCGCGATCTAACACGATCTATGGGGAAGCTGATTGGTTTAACAGCTGCCCCATATTTTGTCTGCTCCAGGTTTGATAAATTGTGTGTGTGTGTGTGTGTGTGTATATATATATATATATATATATATATATATATATATATATAAAAACCTTTTTTCAGTTTTGGATAGAATCATGAAGGGATAGAAACTGTGAAGTTATGGTTGTTGTCTATGTCCCCATTGAGTCACCCCCACTACAAAAAGTGAAGGGAAATTTTCCTAGGGGTTCACCTGTTCTAGCGACAGCTTTCTAGAATGGGTGCTTCCTTAAAGGACAGCACAGTGGCTAAATGGTAAGCACTTCTGCCTGGCAGTACTGGGGTTGTTAGTTCAAATCCCAACCACGGCACCACCTGCTTGGAATTTGCATGTTCTCCCTGTGCCTACGTGGGTTTCCTCCGGGTACTCCGGTTTCCTGCCACACTCTAAAGACATGCTGGTAGGTTAATTGGATCCTGTCTAAATTGTCCCTAGTATGTGTATGTATGAATGTAAGTTAGGGACCTTAGACTGTACACCCCTTGAGGGTTAGGGACTGATGTGAATGCACTATAAAAATGTAAAGCGCTGCATAAGTTTACAGCACTATATACAGTAAGTACCTGTAATAAGTAAAGTGGTAGTAATCTCATTAAAAAAAAAGTTTCCTGCAGTAAGGTAATCTCATAATGTGCTAGTATGCATTCCATACTAGCACATTATGAAAGACTTACCTTAGAACAAAGCCTTCCAGCAGTACACTGTCACCACTGCTGAAGGCTTCCATCTTCACCCAGTATTCCTTCTGGGGCTGCGGCTACTTGAATGGCTGAGCCGCTGATGACATCACTCCTGCGCATGCGTGCCGGAGTATTGGCCATGGCACACAGCTCTGAAGGAACGGCACAGGTATGCACCGATATCACTGGCTGCTGCTCCATTGAATATCTCCTAAACGGTGCATGTTTAGGAGATATGTATTTAATGGTTCATGGGGAAATTCGTCATCAGACACTGAAAACGATTTTGCGATTTTGCTCAGCGATGTGCGAACTTGGAG